GGGCACCTCTTGGGCCGTCTTGGAGGTTTCTTGGGCGGACTTTGAGGCATCTCCTCCTCTCCTGGGCCGTCTTGGAGGCCATCTTGGGCGAACTTGGAGGCCATCTTGGGCCAACGTGGCCATCTTGGAGGCCATCTTGGGCCATCTTGGAGGATTTGTTTCCAGATTGAGGTCCTTGGCAATCTTTCCGGGTGGCCGGCGGGATGCGCCGGAGGCCCAGGAGGAGTTTTTGGAAAAGAACCAAAACCAATAACCGAAAGGGTCTAGCACGCCAGGCACCCACGTGATGAATCAACAGGGGGCGGCGGATCGAATGGCCTTCGGCACATCCCGCCACCGTGTCTGGGTTGCGGGTCTGAGGCCACTCGGATGGTTGATGGGGTCTCGTGGGAGGCGTCTCGGGGGTGTCTTGGAGGCAGTTGTTGAACCTCTTGGGGGCCTCTTGGGGGCCGCTTGGAGGCTTTTTGCGGCCATCTTGGGGCTCCCTGGGGGCTTGTTGCCGGCTTCTTCGGGCAACCCAGAGGCGCCTTGGGGTGGAAGACTCGAAATGTCCGTTCGGGATCCCCCTCTTGGGGCTGTCATGGGGCCCTCCATGGGCGTCTTGTGCGCTTCTTGGGCCGTCTTGGGGCCCTCTCGGGGGCCTCGTGGCCCGTCTTGGGGCGATCTTTAAGGCCTCTTGGCCCGTCTGGAACGTTGTGGACGCCCAAGAGGCGAATGTGTTAAACCAAAGGAAACGTGTTTTCCGAAGGGAACGGGGCGATTTCTACTTTTGGAGGCCCTCTTGGGACGCCTCTTGGGGGCTTCTTGGGGCGTCTTGGGGGATATTGGGCAGTCTGGAGGCCAGCGTGGGCGTTTTGGATAGACCTTTCAGCGACTCGTGGCCCTCGTGGACCGCCCCAAGGCCCTCTTGGGGCTCTCTTGGTTTGTTTTAGGGCCCTCTGCCCCTCTAGGTGCGTTCACCCGGGTCCTGGGGGACCCCCCCCCTCCAAATCGATTGGACCGATTCCCAGGGGAGGGGTTTGGGGAGGGGGAAACATTTCACACGCCGATGAACCCCATGGGGTCGATTGATTTCTGCTGTTAACCACTACTGCCAGCCTGGGCATAGCCACTACCAGCCCTGCCAGGTTTGGTTATCGTCAATGTGGCCTGCCACCAGTGGCCCCGCCTAGCCTCACATGGTCTTGATACAGCAACCGCTGGGTGCCAATCGTGGCTCCTGCTAGCCCATCCTGGCCCTATAGCCCTGATTGGTGCCAGTTCTGGCTGCTGCCTCTAACCCCTTCCTCTGCGCGCCCTCGCCAAGCCTCACTACATAGTCTTGATTGCCGCCAGCGCTGACTGCCGTCGCCCAAGCTGGGGCTAGCGCTGAATACCGCAATAGCAATTTGTAGTTGCTTGATTGGAACATTCGCATTGCGTGCTTCCTCCGTTTGGTTGTAAAGAATAGACGATACGCACCGCCAGCGCCATGTTGCCGCCGCCAATCCCGCTCGCTCTGATTGACGATCACGCTGGTTTCTGTTACTAGCCCCGGTTACTATCAGTAGAGTGTGTTGTCGCTAGCCCTTGTTGCCGCCAGTGATGGTTGCGGCCACTAGCCGTTGCTAGACCCACGCTGTCTGGCCGCCGGTCGCCCCTCAAATTGCTTTGATTACTGACAGCGCTTGTTTCTTCCACCAGCCCACGCCCAGCCTCGACAGCCCTGGTTGTCGCGAACGCTGGTTGCTGTTACCAGTGCCTAGCCTGACTAGCACTGATTACCGCCAACGCTGGTCGCCACCACTCGCGTGTGCCCCCCTGGCCCTGATCGTCGCTGGCGCGGGTCCCACTCGCGCCGCCACAAGACCAGCAGTCCCTGCCGAGCACCTCCAGCTGCATGCTCCCCAGCGGCTCGAAGTCGGACGACGCTTTGGAAAAATTCAGGTCGCCACTCTGCACGGATCCTGGCCAGGACGACGCGAGTCGTCCTTGCGAGGCCCGACTGGGCTGCAGCTTCTGGCTCGAAGGGCGCCCGCGCGCCACGCGGAGCTTGGCCACAGCCGTCCTGCGATGAGCCGCCCCGCGCCGGCGGGCGGAGGACAGGGAGGGAGGAAGAGGAGGAGGAGGAGGAGGAGGAGGAGGAGGCGGAGGAGGCGGAGGAGGCGGAGGAGGCGGAGGAGGAGGAGGAGATGGAGGAGGAGCAGGCCGAGCAGCGGAGCCTGGCGGCGGCGAGGCCTGCCGCGCGGCGGCGCCAGCCGGCCGCGGCGCGGGCGGCGGCGGTGGCGAGGCCGCGGCCCCGGCTCGCGGCGGCCGCGCGCAGGGCGCTCCGCGGCGGCGGGCCGTTGCCCTGGCGAGGGCCATGCTGCCGCTCGTGGCGCCGCGCGCGCTCGGGGCGGCCGCGCCCGCCACGGGGCCCGCGGCGCGGCTCTGCGTCGGAGTGGACCTCCCGCCGGGCGGCGAGGGCGCCAGGCTCCGGCGCGCGTCGCGCGGCACGTGGGCGGACACCGGGGATCCCCGAACGGTGCGGTGGCCACGCCGTCGGGGGTTCGGCGTTTTCGGGCGTTCTGGTTCGTTCCTGGGGGTCCTCCTGCCTCGGGACACGCTCCAGCGCATCTGCGCCTCGCCGAGAGCGCTCGGGGGGGGGGGGCAGGGCCCAGCCCATTCGTCCCGAACGGCCGCCAGGGACCCGAGTTATGGCCCGGAAGCCACACGTTCGGAGGAGGGCCAGTGTGGTGAGCCAGTGGGGGATATTCGGGGTCACCGCGCGGCTTTGGAACTTGGGTCGTTATCCGAGGACGTCTTGGGCGACGGGGGGTCCCCAGGGTTCCAAGACCGTGCGGTGACTGACCGTGCGGTGAGGTCTCTTCGGGTTTCGACGTCACCGCGCGGTCTGGCATCACGCGGTTTTGGGACCCCCAAGGACAACGCGACGTTCTTCGCGGCGCCACGGGCTGCCCCGGCGAAGAGTGGCGGTGGCAGCCGCGAGGTGCTTCCGGCCTCGCTGGCCTCTTGGGTGAGCTGGGAGCGCAGGATGTCGAGGGAAAAAGCGCACTGACCATGACTAAGATGCTGCGTGGTCTTGTCGACGCCGATCTTGGTCATTGTACATGCCGGCCGCCGCCGACTCTCGAGTGATTCACGAACTGACGTTGACCAATATGGGCGGTGACCAAGATCGACACGACGTATCCGCGCTCAGTCTTGGTCATGGTCCCCGTGCTTTCCCCCTGCAGGCTGCCAAAGTGGTGCGAGTGGTTCCTGAAGGTGCCCGCGGGCACCTACGTGAACGTCCCTCTCCTCTCGGAGCGCCTGAGGTGTCTGGGCTCTTCGAGGCTGCTGAGGAGGTCGTACCTCGGGGTCGCCCAGGCCCTGGTCCTGGAGGAGCGGCTGTCGCCCGTGTGGCTGCCTGCCGCCCAGGCTGGGATCGCCGTGCACCGGGAGCTGCTGGATCAGCTGCCCCAGATGTTCCTCGCGTGCGCCCGAGAAGGATTCCACACGCCCCTGACCAGGCAGGAGGGCGGCGCACTCGGGCTGTGCCTCTCGATGCACAACGTCGCGCTGCAGCCCTGGGTCGACTCGGCGGAGGAGGCGTTCTTCGACTCCGAGGCGACGGAGGGCCAGAGCACCTGGGCGAGGCTGCAGGGCGCGCTCGACGTGGGCGCCGGGCGCATCAGCAGGGCGCAGTGCCTTCTCGTGGCTTCTGGGCTCTCCGGGCCGCAGCTCGAGGACCTGCACCGCCTCGTGGGGAAGAGCAGGCGGTGGTTCAAGAACCAGGGGTGCGTACCCGGGGGCGTCTCGCTGCCAGAGCTCGCGGTCCAGCAGGTGGTCGTGGGCGGCACTGCTATGTCCGAGCCTCTGATCTCGGTCGCTGTCCGCCGCGCCCTACAGGACTGCCTGGTCCGCGACGCGTTCGTCTCGTTGAGCGTCCAGCCACGCGTTGAGACGGCCTCGGCGATCCCAGAGTCGCCTGCGGCTTTGGTCACGGAGTGGATCCAACCGCGGCTGCTCGAGGGCCCCGCAGCAGCGCTTTTGGGCCGCGGTGGTCACGAGCTGTGCGTGTTCGTGCTAGCCACAGCCGCGTCGCAGCGATACGTGGATGATGCTGCCGCTGTGCTGAGGAGCTGGGCGGCGGAGGGCCCAGCCAGGCCCTCCGGAGTGGAGGTGTTTCTGGTCTCGCGCACTGTACCGGCTCCCGAAAGCATGGCCCTCCGGCTACCAGGCGATGCGGACTTGGGTTTTCTCCATAACGGCGTGCGCGCCTTCTACCTCTGGAGGTATCTGGCCAAGCACCACGCAGACAGTTGCAACTGGTTCATGAAGGTGGACGCGGACACTTTCGTGAACTTGTGGGCCGTCAAGGAGCGCTTGGCGAGGTATTTCAACGCCTCGGAGCACAACTACCTCGGCTCCTTGAAGGCCACGCTGACGGGGTCGGGACGGCACATGAGCTTCGCGACGAACGTGGCCGTCCTGAGCGGGGGCCTGTTGCGGGACGCTGGGCCGTGGCTGCGGCAGTGCAGCGAGGACCTGATCCGCAGGAAACTCGGCAGGGGCGCCGAAGACCTCGACCTGGCCTGGTGTCTGGACCTGCATGGCGGGCTGTCCCCAGGCTTCCTGGGGGCACGGCGCGAGCTGCTCAGCCGCAACATGGCCTTCGCAGCAGGGGCTGGACGGCTGCTGGGCGCCAGCGGCATCTGCGCGCTGTTTTTGCACCCTGTGCACGCGGAAGAAATGGACAGGGTGAATGCGGAGTTGTTGCAATTGCGTGGGCATATTGTGCAGTGGCTGCAGAGCAAAGACTTGGGGGTGTCGCATTATTGCGATTGGCCAGAGGACGCCCCAAACAACGACTCTAGGTGGGCCGAGTACATGCAAGATAACTTCTTCATCGGCAACGGCTCTCACGACTGCTGGGACAACGACTTCAACTGGCATGCTTGTTGCAACCCCCGAGTGTGGGGCCGGGAGGGCAACGTGGGGTGTTGGGACGAGGAGCACACGCATAAGAGGTGTTGCGGCCAGGAGCCAGCGCGTACTGCCGCCAGCTTCGCCCCCAGCTCGGCCGCGGACGCCTCCGCCAGCGCGGGGTCGCAGGGCCCACCGCCGCGGGACGCCTCGCCTGGTGACGCGCCTGCGCCGCTGGCGCACGCAGAGGACGCCGCTTCACCAGCCAGCGGCACAATCACACCGCTGGCGCCCGCAGTAGACGCAGAGGGCAACTCGAAGTGCTGGGCGCAGGGCGGCTTCACACACGCGCTCTGCTGCGGGGGGCTCGCCGACTCCACGGAGTGCTGGGTCTGGCCCTACACCCCCGACTTCTGCTGCCGAAAGCCCCGCGCGCCCCGCGGCCCGGTGCGGCCCAGATGCGGCCAGGGCGGCGGGGAGCTGCTGGCATGCACGAAGTCGCTGGACGAGATCGGCGCTCTCTTTGAGGCTTCGGTCATCGGCGGCGGCGACAAGGCCAGCGGCTGGCACGACTACTTGGGTGCCTATGAGCGGGTACTGCTGCACCTGCCCATCTCCGCTAACGTGCTCGAGCTCGGCGTCCGTTCCGGCTCCTCCTTGGCCATGTGGGCGGAGTACTTCCCTTTCGGCAGCATCGTGGGGGTCGATAAGAACACCGCCACTTTTGAGCGGGCCCGGCCACTGCTGGAGAACCACGGCGCCCTCTCGCGAGGCAACGTGCACGTTGTGCAGGCAAACGCCTCGAGCGCCTCTGTCCTGGACAGGCTACGCGAGGCCGGTTTCGATGCCGGCTTTGCGGACGTGGTGGTGGATGACGCGAACCATTGGGCGAAGGACCAGATCGCGCGATTCGAGATATTGTTCCCGACAGCGCTACGCAGGGGAGGAGTCTACATCATCGAGGACGTGCACATCCAGGCGCCCTACACCCACGACGGCGAGGCGGTGCGCGCGTACTTTACGAAGCTGAGCGAGTCCGCGTACCTCACCAAGGACGAGATCCTGGTGGGGGCTCACCAGATAGAGGCCCGAAGAGATGCCTCCACGGACTGGCGGCACCAGGTTGAGTCTGTGACGTTCATGCGGGACGTGGTTGTGATTACGAAAGCCGCGTGATTTGTCGCTCATCGGCGCCGCGGTGATCTGACACGACATGCAAGCCGTGCAATCGAGCCGACCCTCGCAGCGTCTCCACTGGACGAGCGCCTCGGCGGCCTCGCGCTCGCGCAGCGCAAGGGCACCTCAGTCTGGCAGCGCGAGGCCAAGAGCACTCCAGAGAGAGAGAGAGAGAGACTCGCAGGAGCGGAGCGGCGTGCTCGGCCGGTGCTACTCACGAGCAAGCAGCGATCCTCGGGCAGCGATTGGCGCAGAGAGGCAGGAACGCTTCGAGATCACATGGCGGAGCTCCAGTACCACATGCGGCTACGGCCAGGACCGAGCGGTGCACGAGACCCCGCTGGCCCCTTCGGTGATCGCGGTGGCGGCGGAGCTGGCCGAGAAGCGCGCACGGGCGTAGACAAGCGCTCACCCCCAACCTCCTGGCGCTTGCGGAGAAGGATGAGGAGGGGGAGCTCGTTGCGTAGAAAGAGAATCACGGAAGCTTCCGCTCGTCTTGGATAGAAAACATGGCGGCGAATGTCGCCCAATAGCGCCGAGTAGCCCCGAATAGCGCTAAAGTAGCTCCCAATGGCGCCCAATAGCGCCCAAAAGCGCGTGAGGGGTGCCACCGAATTTCAGAAATGTGGCAAATCCCATGTGTTTTTGGACCCTGACCCAGCCGATCTGCATTAGAGGTGCCACCGAATTTCAGAAATGTGGCAAGTCCCATGTGTTTTTTGGACCCTGACCCAGCCGATCTGCATGAGAGGTGCCACCGAATTTCAGAAATGTGACAAATCCCATGTGTTTTTGGACCCTGACCCCGCCGATCTGTGTGAGGGGTGCCACCGAATTTCAAAACAAACTGGCAAGTCCCATGTGCATTTGGACCCTGACCCCGCCGATCTGCGTGAGGGGTGCCACCGAATTTCAAAACAAACTGGCAAATCCCATGTGCATTTGGACCCTGACCCCGCCGATCTGCGTGAGGGGTGCCACCGAATTTCAGAAATGTGGTAAATCCCCCGTGCGTTTGGACCCTGACCCCGCCGATCTGCGTGAGGGGTGTCAATTTTTACCCACCCCAGCAATTCAGACAATACGATTTGAGGGTGGTGAAAATGCCCGTTTTGGGCCTCCCCCCCTCGCGCGGTCCATCAACAAGGAACAGTAAGCAGCAAGAAATCAACAAGGAACAGTAAGCAGCAAGAAGCAGAACTGTAAGAGTGGAAACTGGAAGCTGCAAGTGGCACAGGAAACTGCGAACCTCCGGCCTACAGCCTGGTGGCCCCACAAGGGGGCCGGCGGATATGTGTACATATCCGAACACAAACCGACAAACAAACGATCAAGCACACAATCAACACACACACACACAAGCAAACACGATCGGCGCCCCCGAGGCCGCGATCCCTGGCAAGAGCAAGAGGATCCGCGCCCCCGACGCCGCCAGGCGCCCCCCAGGCACCCTCCCTCAGACGCTCCAGGAGCTTCCGAGCGCTCCTAGGCGGCCCCGGGGCGCTCCGCAGGCGGCCCCGAGCGCCCGCAGGCGCTCCCGGGTGCTCCCAGGCGCTCCCAGACGCTCGCAGGAACGCCCAAACGCTCGCAGGCAGCGGCAAGCGCTTCCCAGGCGGCCCCAGGTGCTTCCAGGCGCTCCCAGACGCTTGAGATGTCCCCAGGCCTTTCCAGACGCTCCAGGAGCGCCCAAGCGCTCCAGGGCGGGTCAGGCGCTGTTCTGCCTGCAGGCGCGCCAAGGAGTCCCCAGACTTCCAGGTGCCCCCAGACGCTCCAGGAGCGCCTAAGCGTTCCCAAGCAGCCCCAGGTGCGCCCAGGCGCCCCCAACCGCCCCCGACCGCCCCCCAGGCGTCCCGAACGTTTTTAGGCGCCCCCAGACGCTCCAGGAAGCTTCAGGAGGCTCCAGAAAGCGTGCGAGGCCCCAGGAAGCTCCAGGAGCCCCAAGGCGCCAGAGGAGACCCCAGAAAACATGAGGGGAGCCACAGAAGCCCCCAGGAAGTCACAGAAAGCACCCAGGAAGCCCCAGCCGACGCAGCCTGACGGACCCCGAGAAAGCAGTTGAAGTTCTTGCAGAACCCCCACCCTCCCCCCCCGCGCGGTGGTTGCGTAGCGATACGCCCGCATATGCGGCGCGTTTGCGGCGCGCGCGTGTCCAGTCGCGCAGCGAAGCGCCATCACTTTCGCGGATCAAGTCCGGGGCGCCGGCAGATCATTCCGCCGATGCGACACGCAAGCCTTCCCCCGCGCGCTCGAGGCTGCCAACTCGCGCGACGACGCTGCATGACGCCGCGCGCCAACCCCCGCGCGTGAACTTGCGTGCCGAGACCATCGCGGATGCGGCGCGCGAGTCCTCTCTCTTGCGCACGCCGGCCCCCACGCGAAGATCGTGTGCTGAGACCGCTGGCGACGCGACGCGCCTGTCCTCGTTCGTGCGCCCGAGCGCTGCTCAGTCGCGCGAGGAGTCTGCCTAGCGCTGCGCGCCGACCTTCGAGCGAGGATCTGCCTTCCGAGCTTTCCGCCCATGCTACGCGCGAGCCCTTCCCTGCGCGCTCAGCGCAGCACAGTCGCGCGAGGGTGCTGCTTGGCGCCGCGCGCCGACCCCTGCGCGAAAATCGCGCGTCGAGACCGCCGCCGATGCGACGCGCGAACCCGCGCCCGAGGGGTCCCGACGCGGCCTGATGGTTCTCGAGAACTTGTCCTGCAGACCCCCCCACCCACCCCCAGCGCGGTGGCCGCGTTGCGATATGCCCGCGTGCGCGGCGTCGGTCGACGTTCGTCTCGCGTCGTCCGCAATTCGTCGTCGTTCGCCGTTCGTCGACGGTCGCCGTCCTGGTCGCCAGTCGTTGTTCGTCGTTCGTCGTTCGTCGCCCGTTTGTAATCGTTCGTCGTTGGTCGTTCGCCGCCGTCGCCGTTCGCCTACAGCCGCGCAGTGATACATCCGCTGGCAAGCGCGACGCATGCCACCTCCCTCCTTCTAAAGGGGCCGTCGGGGTGGAGGCGAGGAGGGAGCCCACTCTCGGGCGCGGCCGAGGCAGGGCGGGGGGGCTGGGACACGAGCGTCGCGTAGTACCCACAGCAACACTCCACCCCAAACAACCCCATTAAAAAGAATGCGTGCGCGCACTTCTCGTAAGCACTCTCTCTCTCTCTCTCTCTCACTCTCTCTATCACTCGCTCTCTTTCTCTTCTCTCTCTCGCTCTCTCCTTTTTTTCTGTCCCCCTGATGCCATGTTTGCTTGCGCCCGCCTTTCTGTTACGCCACGGCTTATTACACAGGATGGTCTCGAATTGCTCCCACTGCCTCTCAAAGCTGATACTCCCGCTGGAGCGCTTACCGCATGCAATGATCTACAGAGAGTCTCTGTCCAACGGAAGGACGTACTCGCCAGAACGCTGACCGCACTCACGTAGGTGGCTTTCTCGCCGTAGGGATTGCCCCAACCACGGGTTGTCGTCGACCTTCCACCGAAAGGAACGACGCTTTCGTCGCATGTTTAGCCGTCTTCTTGCATCAGTGACATTGGTGTTTCCGCTGCATTGTGTGCCACGTAGCGGACTTCATAGAAACTCCGTCCAACGGAAGGGCATTATCGCTTCATCGTTGGTCGCAGTGGTGCAGCAACAGAAACGGCGTTCCCGCTGCAGCGTGTGCCACACCTGACAGTTCCCACCCGTTTTCCATCTACGGCAACGATTTGATGCGCGCGCCAGTGTGTGTGTGTGTTGTGTGTGTTGTGTGTGTGTTGTGTGTGTGTTGTGTGTGTTGTGTGTGTGTTGTGTGTGTTGTGTGTGTTGTGTGTGTTGTGTGTGTTGTGTGTGTGTGTTGTGTGTGTTGTGTGTGTTGTGTGTGTGTTGTGTGTGTGTTGTGTGTGTTGTGTGTGTTGTGTGTAGTGTGTGTGTTGTGTGTGTTGCGTGCGTGTTGTGTGTGTTGTGCGTGTGT